GGGCTCAAGTGATCCTCCTGCCTCAGCCTCCTGAGTAGCTGGGACTATAGGTGCGAGCCACCATACCTGGCTAATTTTTCTTATTCTTTTGTAGAGATGGGGTATTGCTATGTTGTCCAGGCTGGTCTTGAACTCCTGGGCTCAAGCAAAGTGCTGGGATCACAGACATGAGCCACCACGCCTGGCCCAATAACTATATGTATTTATAACAGGGTAGCGGCTAACTGGATCAAACAGAAAGTCTTCTATGATGAACAGTCATCATCATAGGTAGGCAATACATGAAATGCTTATTGATTTTGATATATAAGTATTTAACATAAAGCGTAAATTTTACAATTTCATACCTTTAGTACATCTTATTCTCATAACAGCTTCAAATCCAATTTTTCTTGTGAGGTACCGTTTTAGGTCTTTTTGTAACTTTTCTGCTTGTGAAGGATTGTGAGTATAGTGGAAAGATGGATAATAATAGATGCACCCAGCAGAATACTTGGACATGCAAGCTTTAGAGAGAAATACAAAAAGTATTAGCTACCGAAATAATGATATTCTGCTTGTCCGACAGTAGTACAGCCTCCACATTATGAATAAATTTAAGTCATGAGAACATTTAAGCTGTCAAAATAAGAACAGCATATAAAGCTGAGAAAACAGAAACATTTATAAAATATACAATAAAGTTTATTATCGAGCAGAATGGTAAGGGAATCATTTTACATAAACAAAATACTAATGGCATTTTATATTTGCATAGTGCTTTAAAGTTTACTGATAATTTTCATAGATATTCTGTATCTAATTCACCTGCCATTCTCCACAAAATACTGAGAATGCTTACTGAAGAGTTTAGATTTAGTTATGTGTTAGAATGTTTATGTAGACAGATAAGCACAGTGGTATTCCCTTACCTAGAGAAGCAAGATCAGAATACTGTGAACTCAGAAGGAATAAGTCCACTGCAGTTTGCTGTCCTGAGCAATCTAAAGCCAGTTTCTTATAAAAATCAGTTGCAGGGCCAAGATGTTGTACCACCTAAGTCAACACACCATAAAGAAACAGCTAGAAATCCTTAATTATGCATGTATTTTTATGTCACTCTTATAATAAGAAAGAGGATAACCTCTGTCCCCCTACCAAACTAAGGAGTTTTTAAAATGTCTAGGCAGTTGGCATAGATTTCCTACAGTAAGAATAGCTTATCTTTACAAAAAGCACTTATGCACCAGCACTGCTTGAGATGTTGGATATAAATTAAATAATCTAATTTTTATAACACATATTTCACATGGTTTTTATTATTTACATTTTACAGATGAGGAAACTCAGGCAAAAACTGATTAAGTAACTTGACCAAGATTACATAGTTATTGAGAAGTGGATGCCAAAACATAAACCTAAGCAGTCTGGCTCCAGCGTGAGTGCTGTTAAGCGTTATTTAAACTGTTATATAACAACATGATAGAATGCACGATTAAGAAAGGCTTTCCCTTTGCTATGAGGAAACTTGAGCTGAGGTGGTGGCCTGGAGAAGAGTCTCCATGTTATATAGCCTAACAGAATGTCAATCCTTTTTTTTCTTTTTTAAGATAAGGTCTTACTCTATCACCCAGGCTAGAGTACAGTGGTGTGATCACAGCTCACTGCAGCCTCAAAGTCCTGGGCTCGAGCGATCCTCCCTCCTCATCCTCCCCAAGTGCTAGGATTTAGAGGTGTGAGCCACCGTACCTGGCCTCACTTTCCAAGTTTTATACAATGATCTGTATTAGATTTATAATTTAGAAGTTTATTAGTGTGAGCATATGAAATTATAATAGCTTGCATTTAGTAAGTTTTACCACTTATGTAATAGAAAAGAGCACTGGAGTCAGAAAATCAAGTCACGTCTTTACCATTAAGTAGCAAGATACTTTCCTCATCTGTAAAACGAGAGGGTTACAGTAAATGATTTCTAAATTTCTACAACTTGCAAAGTAATAAAAATAATATACTGCAACACAAAAACAAAGAATTTGAGTTAAATTCTTACATTTTTTATTATTAATGATGCAGAAAAGCAGAATAATAAACAAATAATTACACAGGCTATAGAGGTAGAGAACACCATTTTTAATATGATAAAGACACTAAATGTAAAATACCTTTGTACTTGATCTCTGATTAGGATCTTCTCTGGACTGCAGAAGTCCTGCGCCCAAGGAAGGTAACTGTGTCTGAAATACAGACACACGGCCACCTGTTGGAGACATTAATTTAAAGGCAGCCTGAAGCGCAGGGCCAAGGGCACTGTGTGTTTCTCTTGTATTGGTGAACATATTTGGTAATGCGTTCAATAAGTCTTTTATAAGCTGGGAAAACAAAGATGAAAAGTTGAATTACTGAGCATTCATGGCAATATTCTTAAAAACATTCCGGAGTATACTATGTGTCCCTGCATTTCTGGGGACTATAAACCGAGGAGTTGATAGATATGCTACCTACATTGTTACTGTCTGCAATATTAACATATCAACCAAACAAGTATTACACATTTCAGTTAATAGTTGAAATAACAGAAATATTTTGATACGTTAAGAAAAACAAATCAGTCTCACCTCTTTACTTTCGTATAGATTCACAAGTAAACTGTCCGGTGTAGGCAAAAAAACATCTACGGGAAAAACATATTTTCATCAACAAATCAAGTCAAAAGAATATAACAAATCAGAAAATCTTAGTTTTTATCAGGTTATACATGTAATGTGTACTATAATATTACTTTATTAAGCATACATGCTCTCTATATATTATACATACATGTGTGTATAATATATACACAGGCATAAAAAACTAAGAGTCAAATTATTTCCAGAAAAACAATTATTTCGAAACAAATACCAAAGTGCACGAAATTATTCTCACAGCATATAACAACATGTATTGTAAAATAAAGCAGCCCCCATCTCAAAGTCTATAATTGGAAAACCTTATTTGTCTGACTGCCTACCATCTATATCGGACACAATCAACATCTGAGGCTGTGATAATCCTTCTTGTAAATTGTAGAAATGAATAGTGCTATCAAAGGTCATGAATCCTATTCTTGTTCGTGAATCTCCAGGAAGCCTAAAGATGAAAAGGACAATTTTAAATTCAAAGTGCTCAGCAACATATTTTATTTCAGAAAATAATGAAACAGTAAACTAAGTCTAAGGATAATTACACATACGCTTTTTTATAGGGGACCGACACTGACCCCTATCTAAACTAATACATATCGGAAAAGGGCAAGGGTGAAAATTTCCATTTTCAGATGAAAGCACTGGCATATTTAAAATTCACACTTCAGAAAACTGAACTACTCCATATGTGAATAAGAAGAAACCAAAACTAAAAATGAAACGATTAAAAAACACAAAGACTGCTTGCTAACTTACCTTTGAAACATATTCTTTTTCAGGGAAAATTTAACTCATATTTTCAGTTCCAATTTTACAACAATGGTATATTTTGTTTAAGGGCAGAATGGCAAATGAGTATTTTCCAAGAAAAGATTGAATAAAATGCCAATCAGATTTTAATGTGTAAAATTTTAAACAAAAATCACACTGAAAAACATTGGAACACTTATCTATCATCGATCTTTCCAAATTTTTTCAAAAGTCAATGCCACCACATAAAAGAAAAAATTGCCATTTCCTTATTAATAATAAAATAGATGCCTCATCTTACAAGTATATTTCAAAGTACCACCAACTATGTTAACTTCAGTTATGCAATTTATTGTTTTAGCAATGCCTTTAAAATATCTTCGAATATCATAAGATGCCAAAACAGAATGTGCATCGAAGCATGAAGGATTATTAATGTTACGGACAACTGACCAGGCTACGCACATACAATCTGCAAGGCAGGTCCAAAGCCTTTCAGACAACAGAATGCAACAAGCTATGTTTGTGTTCAGTTTCCCAATACTGGTCAAGATTTATGATGTTTCCACAGACTAATCTTCATCTCTTTGAAGTTTCTAAGGTCACTGAGTACTGGGGTCACCTGTTACTGGTTAGAGTGGAGACTACTGATCTACCCAAGTTCAAAATACACAGTTGAGCTGTAACTGCTCCAGCATCAAACTCCTCTTTTTCAAAGATGTTTCCCAAGCCCTTTCCAAAAACATACTACTATGTTGTTGCTCTATCTTTTCACTTTTACAATTTTTTTTTTTACTTTACTAATGCCTCTATCTTCTGCTAAATCCAACAAATATTTTCAACACTATTTTCCATTCTCAATTTTACACTTTCAGTTTTGCACAGTCTGTTTAATTTGCAAGTAGTTAGTCATTTATCTTTGTCTG